AGGGACCCTGGTCATTATCGTGACTGTATCGCAGGGCCCAGGACCTGTGGGTGTTTGCCCAGTGCTGAGGGGCGGGGAGCAGAAAGTCCCTTGGTATTGAGAGGCCCCATGATGGGTGAGAGCCCAGAAGGACCCTCCTGAGAGCAGGAGCCAGACTTTGTGGGAGCGATGTGCCAGCCAAGCCATTCTGCCAAAACGGGAGGTGCACCGTGGGGGCAGTGTGGGTGGCTGTCTGAAGGGGGCCAGCCCTGCCAGCCCAGAGGCCGTTGTCTGCCCTGGCAGCCCGAGTGGCTTTTGTCCATCCCTCTATCTGGTGGGCCCTGTGGGTAGTCGGTCTCAGACCCCGCTCCCAGGCAGAAAGGAAGAGCCGGTGCCAGGAGCTAGAGAGCTGGGTGGTGGGTGAGTTCCTGGGGTCCTACCTCCCCCACCAGCCCCGTCAGCCTTCCCCAGGGGGCCACTGGGTGAGGTGGTAGGTCTGCCCCGCTCCCAGGGAACCAGAACTGGGGCCGCTCCCGTGAACCTTAGGAGTCCTCCTGCCTCTCCTGCCTGGCTCCCTCCCCTCCCATAGGTCACCCCCTTCCCTGGGCCAGGGCTGTTTCCGAGGTCAAGACTGGGCGACCCAGGGTGGGCGGGAGTCTAGGACAGACAGAGCCAGCAGGACCAGCAAACCAGCCCACAGGGTGGAGGTGAGCGCAGGAAGGGTGGCTGGTGGGACAGAAAGTCGACACACATATTCATCCGTTTATTCACTAGCTCGAGGAGGTGCAAACGAGACCTCTCTGGGAGGCCGTGTGAGGGAGGGGGGCCATGGCCTGAAGTCGATGCCCATGCTGGGTAGGGTCAGGAAGTGGACGGAAAGGGCACCATCCGTCCGTCTGTCCGTCCGTTCATCCATCTGTCCACCCGGTGCCTCCTGTGTGCCAGGCCCCAGACTGGGCAGTTACTGGCCCCACTGGGCAGCCTGGTGGGCGCTATTGTCCCCATTTTATCAGCAAGACAACAGAGGCTCAGAGGTGCGAAAGACAAGCTCCAGATCAGCCCAAGGGATAGGATCCAACAAAATTTGGGGGAGGGGGAGAGATGAAAGAGAACTCTCACTTTCTTTTCACCTTTCTGAGGTTTAGAATCATGAAATAAATACACGTTCATCACCACAAATCAGATGTTACAAAGGGAGGTGAGAAGCAGCTGTCCAGCTTCCCCTCTGCACGTCCGTCTGCACCGGGGCCGCAGCTGTATTCCAGGCAGATGGACAGCACAGAAGTCCATGGAGGTGCCACCACACAGTCAAGCAGCCGCTCCTGAGACAGTCAGGCTGCTTCCAGATCTGAAACGCCGCGAAGAGCCACGGGGAAGAGCCTGGGCCTCTCCGCCTGCTGACCCACGATCCTGACACAGGTGGGGAAGGGGTCTGGGCCAGGCGAGCTCGGAGTGCTTGGCACCCCTCTGCCCTCCTCTGTGCTATTCCACCCCTGGCCCAGCACCCAGACACAGGGCTGGACGCCCCGACTCTCTTTCATGGCTTCTCAAACCTCCTGGTGCTGATTTTCTCCTTTCCTGACCCTAAGCTATTACAATGATTTCACATATGCTAAAATCCTCTTAAATTTATAAACCCACCTTCTCAGCTTCCCCTTCCTCTCCCAGCTGATGGGAGAAGCGACTGCAGGGTGGGACAGGGGTGCAGTGGGGGCGGGGGACAAGAAGTCCCTCCTGGCTTGGGCAACTACTTTGCCTCTCTGTGCCTCAGCTTCCTCATCTGTGAAAGGGGCATGATAACAGCTCCTACCTTGCAGGGTTGTCTTGCAGTGCTTAGAGCCACAACTGCAGGGAAACGGGCAGATGTTAGTTACTAACCTCATGGACAGTCAGCTGGGACAAGTTGACTTGTTTGATTTCCAAGGGCCCTACTGGTGCGGTCCCCTGATTTTGCAGTGCCACGCGCTTCCCACTAGGGGGCCCGGCCAGGGCGTGAGCATAACACATTAGGTGTGTCTGTGCTGAGTTTCGACCACAGCCGGGCCAGGCAGAACCCAGTCTGTGGAGGTGGCATGGGCAGCATGGTCCCCGGTGCTGGGGGCAGTGCCATGGGTATTGGGATGGGACCAGGTCAGGGTGGAAGAGGGTTGGACAGATGGAGGCAAGAGGCAGGTGTGAGAAGCTCCCCCAACACCAAGCACACCCAGCTGCTGGATCCCTGCTCTCAGTGACCCCAGAGCCCACAGGGGGCCAGGCAGGGTTCTACTCCATCCCCGCCAGGACAGGAGGGAGGGAGGGAGGGAGGACCCGATCTAGCTGAGAAGCCACTGGACCCAGGACAGAGTGCTTGCACAAGCAGGGCAGTGACGGTGCTTCCCAGGCCTCTCCTGCTGAGTCAGGAGGGCAGTCTGCCCAGGGCTGCCCTCCCTCCCAGAAAGCATCTGGAGCTGCAGTGGCCCCGCAGCCAACTCTGCGGGGAGTGTGGTCACTTCCCTGAGATGGACCACTCCTGGGAGTCTTTGGGTGGAGGAGCTGGGGGTGGGGTCTGGCTCCCCCCCCGCCCGAGCCTCCCCCAAGGAGGGGTTCATACCACACGGGGCATCAGGGGGAGGGGCCACCTGGACGGCTGTCTGGGGTTCGGTCCTTCTGCTTCTTGGCCCTCCGGGAAGCCTGACCCAGGCCTGCCTAAGGACCGGATCCCCTGAGGTCTGGGGGTCCCAGAGGGAAGCTCTCAAGAGGGAATTTCCAGCACAGGGCCCCCTGACGGGAGCCATGCTTAGGGGCCAAGGGTTTCTGAGTTCCAGGGACAACCCCCCACGTGGGCACCTGCCACCATCCTGCACACTTGGGCCGTGCCAACCTGAAGGGGCTCCTTGGCCCCTCCCCGGACACTGGAGCTGGGGGCACTGGTCAGCTGAGGAGGCCTCAGGCGCCTTGTGACCCTGGGCACAACGCTGCACATCGACTGGCCTCACTGGAAGGAGGGCCCGGCTCCCCGGGCCACCCGGATGCAGAACAGCAGACGCTGGGCAGACCGGGCTTCCCCAAGCTGGCCAAGGGTGGGGCTCACCTAGGGTGGGTGCCTTTTTTTTTTTTTTTTTTTTTTGGCCACACTGTGCGGCATGTGGAATCTTATTTCCCTGACGGACCCTCCCGGACCGGGGCACGAACCCGCGTCCCCTGCATCAGCAGGCGGACTCTCAACCACTGGGCCACCAGGGAAGCCCAGGGTGGGTGCCTTATTAAATGATGCCCTTTCTTGGGTCTCTGGGGGTCCCAAGGCCCAGCTTGACTGGGGGCACCTGAGAGCCACTCCCTGCGCTGAGGCTGGAGCGCTCCCGCCCTCCCCGTGGGCAGAGTCAGAGGTCGAGGGGCCCGCGAAACCCTTTGGGGCCAAGGCCGGCGCACCCGGCACTCGTTCAGTCTGGATCCTGCTGCCGGCCGGATAGCAGTCAAGCCGCTGCGAGGGGCGAGGGGATCCCGGCTGCGCGGGGGCGGAGCGCGGCCCTTTGCATCCTTCTTTCCCGACCCCTCCTCCCCCCCTCCCC